ATTTCTTACAGGAGGTTTTTAATGGTACCTTTGATTTATTTGAATAGAAATTTGGCTATAGAAGAGCAAGAAAATAGGTACTAGATAGATGCCATGATAACTTAATTTTTCATAAATACTCTACTTGCTACAAATAAATTGTGTAAGTTCTAGTATATAAGACAATTGTCAATTTGTTGAATGATTTTGTTTTTGACTTTTTCTTCATGCATTCTTAATCCAATAAAGAAGCTTAGGTATTTGATGCTCTTACCTTCTTCTAACTATATCATCTTGGGATTATCTTGCAATTTCTAATCTCTTAGATTTGTGGCTATCCATATGCTAATAAATTTTGCCTAGTTAATTTTTGTTCTACTTGCTTTGCAAAATGTATTGAAGATGTTCATTGCTTTATTGAAATTTGATTCTATTCCATCTTGATATAGTGCAAAGCTGTCAACAAACATTTAGGTTGTAATAATGGTATCATCGAGTAATGTGAATCCTTCAAATCTTCTATTAAAGTTGTCTAGCATGCTGCCAAAGATTTCTCTTACTAGAAGATACAAATAAAGAGCTAATGGACAACCTTGTTTTACAAAACTTTGTAACTCAAAGTATGTGTTTACTAGGCCATTGAGAGATACATTGGCAATGATTTGTGAATATAAAGCTACTATCATTTCTATATATTGTCTTGGAAATCCCAATGATAGAATAACATGTTCTATTTTTTTTTTTTGTAAAATGCAATGATAGGCCTTATCAAAGTTAAGGAAGAGTGCAATTAATTTTTTGTTGCTTGTTTTTTCCTAGTTCATGGCCTAAAGAGCCATGTATAAATTATTAAAAATATAATTGCTTTGTACAAAGGTAATTTGTGATTTTTTGATCCATTCAAGTAGAAAAAAGATTGTATTATTTACAATTAATTTAGAGATAATTTTATATAATAATCCAAGTTGAAAGATGGATCAATAATTGGTTATCAAGATTAAGTTTCTAATTTTTGGTAGGAGGCATATTTTACTAGTATTCAGTGAGTGGCATAGCATTCAGGTGTATATTACCTCTATGATTAGTGTTAAGAGGTCTTCTTTAATATTATCAAATAATTTATAAATTTTTTTGATGGAGACGCTGTTGACTCTAATTGCCTTTTCAGTTGGAAGATCTTTGATGGCTTCTTGTAATTCTTGTAATGAGGGAATGGTTGTAAGTTTTAAGTTTTGTTCTTTTGTGGCTTTACAGCAAATGCTAGTAAAGTAGTTCAATTGTGCAGCATCATTAGTTTCAACTTTGTCATCTCTAATATAAAGTTTGGTATAATAGTTATTGACATGAGCTTGTTTATTTGCTTCATGTGTTAGTATTTTGTTATTATCATTAAGTTCTTTAATTAAAATTATTTTTTTTATAGCCAATGTAATGGATGAAGAATTCTTTTGTCCATCAATCTCTAATGCTTGTCTATTTGGCTTGATATCTATCATATTTACATTTAAATTAGCTTTATTGAATCCTTTAAATGGCTGCTTCTATAGCATCTAAATTGACTTGGAAAAGTTTATTTTTTTAATTTTTTTGAAATTGGATTTTAATAGAATAGACATCTAAAAAGATATACTTAAATTTATCTATCTATGTGTCTTTTTGCTACTTGTCTTCATTATCACTTTCTTTTTTATTAATTGCTATTGTTGCAACAATCATAGAATTTCACTTTTCATGCTTCTATATGAATATGGTCTCTTTTTATTTGCTTAACAACAAAGTCCATCCCTCATTGGTTTGATTAGTTGTCTATTGAATGGTATTGACTTTTTGTGTAGTATATTTAATCTTCTCAATTTCAAAAATATCAATGTGCAATTAGAGACATTAAAGAGGATCTTCCAAATTCTTATATATCCTTCTATATCATCAAATCTGAGCATACGTATGCCTTGTCAATTCTTGTACATATGTTACATAAGAAGCATCCTTTTTTGTTCTAAGTAAACTTCTTAATTGCAAGTTTTTAGAATGAGTTGGTAAAGAAGCTAACTTAAAGCCCTAATTAGATTACTAAATTGCTTTGGGCTATAATTTCACTTTGTAACCTACATGTTATGCATGATCCTCTTTGCTTATTGTCTAGGAATTTGATCATGTTAAAGTCGCCTGTAACCATCCATTGAGCCACTAATAGATTGCAAGTTTGTATTTTCTTCCATAATCATGATTTAGAGCTAGTGTACTTATATATATATATATATATATATATATATATATATATATGTGTGTGTATGTATATGTTGATAATACCAACTTTGATAATTGGTACTCATTGGATTATGGTATATTACAATCTCCTTGGTACTATAACTTCATGGTCACTAATATTATTTGCAAACTTATTTGATATTAGAATTCTTATTCCTCCCTTGAATCTATTTTATAGTGCTGTATAGATTGCTTCATTTTAAAATGAAGCACTGCTTGAAAAGTCTAATTGTTTTAGTTTTTCGAAAGCTTTCATTATAAGAAAAGTTATGTTTTTTTTAATAAAGATGATGTTTGATTTAGGAATTGCATAATAAAATATGTATTTTAATTTACAAAGCTTTATAATTTCCATAATATCTTTTTTTAGTTCTTAAATATTTAGTGATGCAATTGTAAGATGGATATTAATCATATATTGAATCTAATGTAATTACAAGGCTTGAGTCATTATTTTCTTTATTATCAAATATTATATCTGCTACAAATTGAATAGAATCTGCAAGTAATGTCTACGATAGGTTATTGCTGAGCAAAAAATGGCATCCTCTTAGTATCAAATTGGATTGATTCTTTTTATTTTTAAAATAAGTATTGGCCATTGGTGGAGTATAGTTTCATTTATTAAGTGAATTTGGGCCTTTTCTTTTGACTATTTTATAATATTCATATTTTGTATTAGGTAGAAGGTGGCTATGTAAATTTAAATATGTGTAAGTGGTCTTGCTAATATATTGTCATATAAATTTTGTCCTTTGAATTGGCTTGTGATAAGTTGAGAGCTTGATTGGTATTGCTTCCTTTTAAGTTCTTATGCGGCTAATTTGGTCAGTTGGTTGACTACTTCTTGTGGTATTGAGTATAATCTATTTCTTTTTGTGACATGCCTTCTTTCTTCAATTGATTTACTTGATGGACATTCTTTTACCATATAGAATTTAGATCTACAACTTATACATTAAAGTAAAAAACCACTATATTCCATTTTGAATTGTATCTTCCTATTGACATCTAATTGTTGTAGGATTATGACTTTAGGTAGTTCTTCTTCATTATTTGTAAGGATTCTAATTCTAGAGCCATAGAACTTTGTTCTGTAGTTTTTTTTTATTGTATATTAAAAAGACCTTACAAAAATTAGATAGTATGTTGATAAAGTAAGCCTTTGTCTGCAATTGGTGAAAGAATTATGATTTGGGCTGATAGTGTTGTTTTTGTGCATATTGATTTGAGAATATTGTCCATGTCAAAGTAAGGTATTTGTATAGTCACTTGAATCTCTTGTCCTTCTAAGAATAATTGTTTTGAAATGATAATATTTCTACCTTCTTTTTGTACAAATTTCATCTCAAAATAGTTATTGGATTGTATTAATAAGATCAAGAAGGAGATATGGAGTTTTTGCCAAGCCTATAGAATTAATCGCCATACTTGTAGGTTTTTGTCTACCATCTGTTTTAATGCCATGAAATCCTCTACTTATGATAATAATACTTTATATGTATTTAGTTTTTCTACCTTTAGAATTATTCTATATGTTGATTTTTTGCTTCTTCTAGGATATGAATTTTTAGGTGTGGAATCTGATTTTAACCTTTCTTCTTCATTGCAAATTTGGAGGGCTATTTCATATGATGTTTTATTTATGGCTAGTTGTTCTTATTTGGCTAGTGACTTGAATACCAAAGGTTATACTATCTTTAGTATCTCTTTTGGTTTTGGATATTTTTACATTTTTGGAAGAATTGGTGCTTGTAAGTCAAGTGATAGCAATTCCTTTTGAAGGATTTTGGCTATAGTATTGGTAACTATTTGTTCTAATGTTATCTCTAAAATCTCATGAGTTTGGTATTTCTCTAGAAGGAAATATTCTAAGCTTGGAGATGCCTTTATAAGTAATTCTTATAAGTCTTTTATTTCTATCATATGTGCTAGTCCAATATTGAGGTATTGTTGTAAAATCAGATCTCTTTATGTATATTTCTCCTACATATATTTTTTGAATAAAAAAAAGATATCTTTGTCCATATAGTCCAATAAAGAATTGAATTTGGTTTTGTATGCCACTATCTCAAGTTTTCAGTATAGTATTTTGTTTGGTAGTTCATCAAGCTTAGCTATTGTAAAATAATAGGCATTGTTAAATGTACTTACCTCATCCCCTATGGATTTGTGTTGGTTGATTGTCAATATGGAAGTATTGGTCAATATGGAAGTAGTTGGAAAAGTCTAGGAGTACAAGGCTTGCTCTATTGTGTGATTTCAATTTGCTCCTAATTGTTACCATTCTTTCCTTGAATAGAGTAGTTTTTGTTCTTCCGTATATGATCTTGCAGCTCCATGTATTGTGTTAGTTGTCTACTCCTTTTATTGGTGTACTTGGAATTTTAAGCATACTAGATGATCTTGCTTCAATAAGAGGCAATGGATACTTGTCTTTGCTTTATGCTTTGACTTGACCAACTATTCTTTGTTCCATACTTCTACAAATTGATTCAAACTAATTGCAATGTATTCTTTAAGAGGTTGCAATTGATATATTGATTAATACATTCAAAAAATTTAGGCAAACGAGTAATTAGGAATTATCCAAAAATCTCAGATCTAGGATCGACCCAACCATTGGACCTTTGGGAAGGTACTTGAAGGTACTACGATACTTGGTCTATACCTATATCACATATTCATGTTACCTTTACTTATTCAGAATATATTGTAATAATGTTTTTTGTAAATCATGTAAATAAAAAGAAAAGAAAAATAGGAATGATATATTTTTGATAGAAATGTAAAACAAATGTATTATATTCTTCACTTTATTATCCTGCTAGCCACCCCCAAACTGTACTTAAAACGGATTCCATTACGCCACTCACTCTTCAGCAGGAATAATTAATTACAATTTCTGCATCTGCACACTGCACCATCCAGAGCCAGTTTCCACTACCCAATTCTTCTACAACTGCTGCTACAAAGCCTAGTACATATCTAAGAACGGGTAGAGTAATTACAGTGCCGAAGGTATGAAGTTCTGTACACGACTAACCTCGGATGTCTCAATATACAGGATATTCTATTTCATCATGAAGCCTTGACTTGATTTTCAAATTATTGAACAATGCTGCATATACCGGATCCATTGATGGTTGTCTCAGGTCCGACAAGGCACTGCTACAGTTCAGGGGTGATAATCAAGCCCAGATCCATATTGCCACGCTTCAAAACGTCGCCTCCAAACAAACTGTTTCTCTTTTGGTAAACTGTTCACCCAAGTCCTGCAGTGGTACATAAAAAAGATGAAAATATATTCACAACGTGGTTCCCTTCAAATTCATTTGCGTAGTAAAAAAGAATGATCCGACATTCGATTTCAGGATAATTCTCAACCACGCTCCATCTGCATAAGGACTCACAGCATTCCTGACGGAAAAATAAAACTAAAATAAAATAAGCCCCAACAACAGCAACCAGAAAGTATAAGAAACGCTGCATAGTTGCAGTCAGGCCTCAATCAACCAACCTCGGGCTTCCAGACAATGCCAGCCAAAGAAGTGTGTACATCGCCAGGGCTATGAAATGCCGAAACCAGTCAATAAGCGGGAAAAAGCCCACCTGAACAAATTTAATACAGCCCAAGAGACCCATAAGTGACGGTTAATTTCCGGACAAGTATCGTGTGCTTAACCTTTCCATGGATAGATCTACATGTATCTGCCCACTTCATCATATAAAAGATGTTGAAAGCACACAGACCGGATCCAGGATGTAGTCTAATTTCTTACTTGCCGCATGAATGGAAAAAATGAAGAAAACTAGCTAATTCTTAGGAAAAATAACCTAATAGAGGACATGTAAGGTGGTGACGGTCAACAAAAGAATGGCGTGGTTAAGTACCTGACGAAATATCTGAGGTATAAAGAGAGGTTTCGTCAACATGATTAATGACAACAACCGCACTTGTGGCCAGAATTGAACTACATCCTGCACTCACCAGTGACAAAAAGAAACACAAGTTGGATCAGAAGATAAAATATTATGCAAGTAAAAGGAATGTGCTTAAGCCAATACAAATATTTCTGGCTAATGTGAAAAGAGCACACCGCACCTGCAAGAAAGGCCGAACAACTGGATCCCCAAGTCTCTGCAAAATAAAGACCACGTAGAACAAGGTTAATTCTGGTATCACAAAGCTTCTCAAACAATGAAGCTCAATAATACAGCGAAATCGACGCACTAGAACCGATTGAAGCAGCCAAGCCCACTGTGCTCTAAATTGGAATCCTCCTTTAGTGTTTGAAATGAACGTAATATGCACAAAGTAGTGGTACTTCTTAAAATTCAACGCAACGACAGTAGAAACTTGTTGAGAGTAGTATTGCAAGGATTGAAAGTGGCATAAACCTCCATGCACTCAAAGTTGATGGAGAGCAAGTTGTTAATAAAATCTGGGGGTGACTCAATATCAAGCCGCACCGACATTGCTCGCTGGTACATCCATACCCCACTCAGGTTGGGCTGGCAACCCCACGAGACAAATAACGACAAAAGGCTATTTGTCAGCCATGTTCATAGGTTGAAGCGAAAAAAGGGATGAATAAACAAAGAAAGACAAGTTCAATTAATCCACGCACAGCAAGGTTCTTATAAACCAGGGAATTAACTGAATATGTGCTGTTGAGTTGTGATTCCAGAAATATACCAGATAAGGATTTAATAAAGCTAGGTTATTCTTGTCGAGCAAATCCGCTTGTAATGCGTCGTAAAGACCTGCAATGCATCAGTTATATTTTTTAGGAATCCAATTCAAGTTAGGGCAGTAACTCCGGAATAAGCAACCGAATGTAGTGAAATCAATCTCCACGACTACCATAAGGATCCATGTCCTTTTAAGAGTATTGCCGTTTACGAATTGGAGACAGAAACACATGGAGCTACTTTTACTGTCAAATTTATTCAGAATAAGCGGTGGTTTGAATTTGCCTCCATTATAAGACAGAACACGTTGATACCTACAATTTAAAATGAAGTCACTAACTGATTGCAGACATTTGTTAGGACTATAGGTTTAAGAATGCAGTTAAGGCTCGAAGCAGCCCGGGAGTAGATGAAATGGACTTGAATAAGAGAGAAATAAGATATCACAGGCCAAGAAATTTTTTTACCATTAGACAGGCGACCAATATGCCTGGTGATAGCGCCGAATCCGCCAAATGAGATCGGTGATTGAATTCCACTTGCGTCACCAATCTGTAACAAGCATACCATACAGGTTTGTTTGATCAGACGATGCATGACGTGACTCGACCTGAATACTTCAAATTAAAATCAGAAGTAACCAAGCAATGTAGACGAGTCATAAATTACTCTAGTGAAAAAGAATCAAGTACCTGCAACACCCGATCGAAAGCTGAAGGTAGTGGGCTGCAGAAATGAAAAAAACCAGTGAATACATCGTGGCAACTGATTTTCATCACTAATCCTCCAAATTTAACAATTTCAGACTCGTCGGAGTGGCTACATTTTGAATACTTCATCTCGACGAAGTCATCCAAAGAATACCATGAAGAATAAGAATGTATCTAGCTGGTAAGCATGGATGAACTACTTCAGCATGAAAAATATGAGCAACAAAACTTAGCTGCAGTTACTACAAACGAAATAATGGAATACATTATACAGATGACAGCTAACCTGGCTCGGTATGTGGGAAAGCAACCGAAAAGCACTCTTCGTATTTCCAGATCCTCCAATTTAACGCCCTGTCGGTGACAGCAAACCTTAGAAACTGAGTGACTATTTGTAAAGATCAATTCAGCCATCTGACTTCATCTGCGTTAAACATGAAAAAAAATCTAATTAAAATTTGAAAATGAGGACAACATGGATAAATACTAAATTCTACCTGATAATCTGGCATTAGGTCCCAGTAATCCTCGAGCATCTCCTCAAGCAAGGGACGAGAGGGAGTAGCGTCCAAGTAGCTAAACATGTAAGTTGTACGATCTGTGGGTCCTGACCCAGCTGGGAAAGCCTGCAAACCAAGTGGCCAAATTGCATAATCTTCTCATATAAATTGGTCTTCCACCGCAAAAATACTACTCCAGAGTGAGAAATGTTTCATTTTGAATGAATGATACGTTATTTACTGACAGAATTATTTGCATACCTCCCAAAAGTACTGCGTCTTGGAGCTTCCCACTTGAGTCACTTGAGTGTTGGTGTAAATGAGGTCACTGGTCGAGTTATTCTCAAAGCCACGAGCACAAGCACCAACCACAAGACACACTCCATCCGGATGCTGCCCCCACCGAATCTGGCGCACAATAGGAGACTGATTCCCCATCACATCCAAAAGAAGACGCCCAACAAGAGTTTTTCCATTGTCAAGTGACACAACCTGCACGTTACATGAATCGGAAATGAAAACCGATTGTACTAAAAAATACACACGTGGAGCTAGAGCCAACTTCAGAAAGTACTGGCGCGTAATGAGAAACCAAGTTCAAACTTGAGAAGAATTAGAAACTTACAGCACCGTCGTTGAATACATCCAATTTCGACAAACCCGTAAATTCAAGCACCTCGCCTCCAACGTCCACGAACCTTTTCTTACATACTTCGATCAGCTTTGCTGGGCTGCCGTCACAGACCGTGTCAAACAAGGAAGTATTAATTGTCGAGAGCTTAAATTACACACTGATTATTCCAAGATACTAGTGAACACATCCAGATATCTTAAACGAAATTAACCCAAGCCTCCAAATGATTAAATCTGCTTTGGCACGAGTCTTCCGGAAATCAAGAAATCCATCTAAAACAAACAATGGGAAAACGCAACTTACGAGACCCCAAGATTAAGGATGTCATTCACCCAGAGCTCCGTTCCTCCCGCAAAACCAACTCTGCTCTGGTAAACAATGAATTAAGCGATTACACGTCGAAACACATACTGTACACGAAATCAACAAAAGAAAAAGAAAAAGAAGGACCTAGTAGTGACAGCAGACAATTAGGGAAGGCAAGGTCATAAACTTGACTCACAGGATTGAACTCAATTGAGATGACTTCCTCAATCTCATCTTCGGTCAACACTCCAGCATATACAAGCTCTTTCAGTTCCTTTCTCGATACATTCCAATCCTGCACACGCTGCTATCCAACGCCACACCCACAAAATTGGTACCTACAAACCTGCTTCGTTGATAATTGAACTGTGGAATTCAGAACCAGGTTCGCAAATTAGTTGGGATCACCAACATACCCCTCGAAGCGGTCCCCTTTCAATAATGGCCACCTTCAATCCTCGAAGCGCAAGAGCTGTGGCAAGAAACACACCCAACGTTCCACCGCAAACCACCACATCAAACACTGCTTGACTTCTATCAGCAAGACCAGAGTCAGCCCATTTTCCTTGGCGCCGCGTTACCACCTCCGGGGCTGGTCCAGTCACTGCAACAACGACAACAGTCAGGGTTGACTTGCATAATGTTTGATTATTCAGTGCCATCAGATAAGGCTTCAGAGACGTGGTAGATTACTGGGAGTTCTGGCTTTCAATTTCCGCCAATGTTCATCCAGCCGCTTTAAAGCTTGGTAAGACATTGCCCCACCAGCTCCTCCAGCTTCCGCACTTCCTGGAATGTTTTCCATAATCCTCTGCAACAATCAAGATTGAACAAACACACTAGTTGCAATGTGAAAGAATTCATGTCTCTGATAACTTCACTCCTCCCTACACACGGAGAATACCTATCCAACGATTCGTCACATTCACTATGTTCCATTCGGAAATTTCATGGGCAGTACTTATGATTTCTAAAGCCCTTTCCGGCAAGACGGAAGACATGGGGACCAAAGTAATGGTAGCCTGCAGACACACCCACTTAATTGCAATGTTTGCAAAACAAAGGTGCAATTTAGCATGCATGTGGCTCTAGCTCAAATTTACTGGAAAATTAACGAGGCAGAAAATGCACAGCTTCGCTTGTATCTCTCACGTCTGAACAAAATTGACAAAAATCTAGACTAGAAGTTCCACCAAAGACCAGATCTCCAAACAAGTAATCCAGACAAGATTGGTAAAAAAAAAGATTACAGCCTATCGAACAATAAAAAGAAAGACCATGCATACTTGTGTCCGTGTCTTTGGCGTCGTCGGTGGAGGGACCGTGGGGTTGCTCGTGACAGGAGTAGAACCAGCTGAGCACTGGACGCGGCGCGTGCACCACCTTCCACAACAACTCTTCTTCCATTTCACAACAATGAGCTGCTGCGGAAACCTCGAGCTACTCCGAAATCCTACATTGAAAGAATTTTCTGCGGGCGGGGCTAAGAGATGACCATTCTTCACAGAGACCGCTGCGCTGCGCTGCATCGTCGACGCACTCACAACACCCATCATCGTGGCTGCGATTCGGGTCCGAAATCGCAGTCGCGTGTCAGGATACGGTTGCGATACGCACTGCGAGTGCGACCTAATACGCAACCACCCTCCAAAACCAAAGTACAATCACAAATGTGTAGCAGAGCAGCTAATTGATTCCCCTGCGACAAGAATTCGCTCCACCCATGAACTTTTTCTCGCAGCTACCGAGCAAAAAGTCTCTCCGCAACCCAAAATGCTGCGACGTTGGCTACAACCCACCAATCTGGAGCAAGCAGGGATGTAATTGAGAGCAGTGTAGGCATTGTCGTGGCTTGATTTCTCTCTTCGCTTTTGGGTTTTGATTTGTGTGGAAGCTATGGCGCGGATGGAGAAAGCGCACATCGACCTCGAAACCAGACCAGAGAAGCGGAGCTCTGTCTCCACAGTTCGGCACCTTTTTCGTTACTTGGGCCCATTCCTGGAAACAACGATCACTGTGGGGAACATGTGCCTGTGGAGGGGAACAAAGGTTCGCATGCCGACATGTGGAAAGGGAATGGATGGACTGAGGAGGCCAACTGGCTTGAGCGGAGGACGTGGCAGCAACAGTGCCTCGGATATAGGTGGGTCGGTGATAGGGGATTGATTACATGTCACGGTCTGAGAATTGTAGCGTGAGAAAAAGCTGTGAAGAAAAATGTTAGGGATCAAAAAATTGTGCATGAGCCAATTGATGCTCTGTGAAATACACGTAGTATAAAATAGAAGATGATAAGGGTGTGTGGTCTATATTTGCTAAAGGTACTCTATTTTCCTTAGAGGTGCCATTTACTACAACAATAGAATATTGGTTTGTGTTTGTATTGTTGGAGACTAATATTTAGACTAATATTTAGCAGTTTATTTAACAAGTATATCTTCTATTGCACCATATGCAAGACATTCCCAACATAACATGTCTCATTTCAAGAACTAGTGTTTGTGTTGTATTTCTAGAGATTAGAATTGAGCAATTCATTTGACAAGTATACTATTAATTGCACCATATGTATATGAGTAACAACATATTAAGGTTTATTTTTAGAATTGGTACCTTTGTTATGTTATTGGAGATTATGTAAGACCATATTCAGTAACTATATTATGTAAGTTTATATTTGGTAATTGTGCTAGTTAGTAGTTTTTATTGAAATTTTTACATTGATATTATGTGGTTCAAGAATTAATAATTTTAGCTATTTTAATGAAAAATTGAATAATAAATTATATTAGTTATGATTTAATTCATGATTTTATATAAATAAAGAATATTATGTTACTTTTTTAAAATTTATTATATGCTTATTATATATTAAAGTAGTGACCAAATACTCAAATGATGGAGGCAACAAAACTAGTAGTAATAAAGTGTTATCTTCATCTTCTAATTTGATATTAGTACTTATTAATTCATGAAGAATCTAGTTGAAGGTATAAGAGTGATTTAATACACTTGTATATTTTTTTATGTGAAAAATATACAATTGTTGCTTTAAGTATGCTCTATTTCTCTATTACTTCGTCACATAAAAGTTCTCTAATTTTGTTCATAATTCTTGTCTTGAAATCTTTTTCATGATATTATACAATACGTTATTTGCAAGTCTTAAAAGAATTGGGTTTATCACTTTATGGCTAATTTCTTCTCACTCTTCATTACTCTTGTTGTCAAGGACATAAATCACAACAAAAATTTTAAGGGGCAATACACTCATATACCACTAAAGAAAAGAGAACATATAATAAAGAGAGGTAGTTATAAGACAAAAAAGACCAGAATGGCTATTGTCAAATATAAAGATAATAGATAGCTTGTAAACTAAGATTAGAACATAAGAAAGGTACTGACAAGATTGAAGGTCTCACCCTATTTTCTACGTATACTAGAACTAGAAAGGTCAAGTGTTTGCCAAGTTAAGTAGCCAATATGTGACCAAAACATTTCTACTTATTCCTACTTACTTATATTTTACTTCTATTTACTTAGGTAATATATGTATCTATTACACTTGTTTGCAAGTTATTTTCCAAAACTTTGTACACACTTTATTGTACAAGCAAATACTTTGCCTTAAATTATCATAATCTAAAATTATATTTCTTATCAAATTTTTCTACCTAAATTTTTTAAATTAAGATATTTCTTGCCATTACATCACTTTAACTATGCTTAATACCAATTATTAAGAAAATAGATAGGAAATCTATTACACACAAAAAATAATAACAAATTATAACTATTTTATTAATATCTAAATAACATATATACATAATTATGGTTCTAACAAGATGAGCATAGGAGCAATTGGAACTCCTAAGAACCAATTAAAAAGAATTTTAAGCATCTACCAAATAAGATTTAAATTTTGGCTATAAGAAGCAAAATTCCTTACTTTCATCATTTTCTACTAGGAAAAGGGTTAGAATAATGTTGTAACCAAGCATGCCAAGAAAATCCACCATAATTCTTATATATATATATATATATATATATATATATATATATATATAATTTATTATATAAAAGATTAAAATTATATTATTTAAAATGACTTAAATTTTCATATGTTTAGCAATTGAAACAAGTTGTTTTTATGGGCCATAAATAACATGATGTTTCTTATAATTTATGAGTATTTAAAATATTTTTATTTATTTAATATAAAAATATATATACTTCTAATTATGTTGAGTTAACATATCATCAAAATTATTTTAATACATCTAATAAATATAATGTGAATTTTTTATAGTATATATATATATATATATATATATATATATAATGTAAAGATAGAAAACAACACTTGATTTTGATTTTGATTTTGATTTTTTTTTTTTTTTTTTTTTTTTTTTTTCAGAGAACTTAAGAAAATACTTTGTTGTCTTTTTTATCTTTTATTTCTGTATGAAATATAATTTATTTTTTAAGATGAATTAATAAATCAAAGTGTGATTAAACATCCCATCTTTTATATCGTATTTTTGCTTCTATTGAGTTTAGGTTCAATTTTATGTATCAAGTATGCTATAATATTTTATTCTTTATTATAAGATTTTTATATGTAAAAACACATCTATTACAATTACAAATAGAAGATATCTTTAAAAGAAAAAGACGAAGAAGTCCTAAAACTATATGAAATTAGAGATAGATAAATTTTTATATACATATTGTTATAAAACTCATATATTCCAAGTATAGGTGTCCTTAGAATAAAGAGAGAAATTCCAAAAATATATATTGCAAGTTTAACTATAAAAAATATCTTATGGAAAATTTATAAATATATATATATATATATATATATATATATGTGTTGTAATACAGTACATGTTTTATAATTTTTTATTTTTTTGTTTTTTTGTTTTTTTATTTTTTAAATATATATAGGTCCAAGTATATCAGAAATTGCATGAATCAAGTATATATTATTATGTGTAATATTATCAAACCACAAGATAATATTGATACTAAACATAAATCACATTAAAAAAAAAAAAAATGGAAAAATTTATTCAACATATAATACCACTAAATAAATTATTTTAGATATTTTTATTAATCACAAAAAACATCTAATACCAATACAAATTTTTTGCATTTAATTAGTATAAATAAGTAATTAAGGATTTATCTAGAAAATAAAATAAAATTCTAATATTAGATTATAATAATTTATTTTTTAATAGAATGATTATCTTTAATCAAATAAGACATAAGTTAGAAATTAAATAAGTAAAAGCAACTATGTAGTCATAATTTAAAGTTTAGTCATATTCTAATAAAATCAATAAAGTTACTTGCATTGTAACATACCAAAATTTCTACTGTCAGTTATATATTTTTTAATTTTCTACCAATTTATAATTTTTTTATTTTAAAAAAAAAATAGAAAATTTCATTCTAAATTAAAATTTATTATTTATAATAAGATTTTATCTTTAAATTTTATGTTTTAAATAAATAAGTAAAACTTATATTTTGCATATATGCATCTATAGTTCATTATTTTTTTTAAAAAAAATGAAATTTTCTATGACAATTGTAGCCTAGTTAGAAGAAAATGATTACACACTTTAATAGAAAACTCTTAGGATACATACAGTTAGAAATAATTTTCTTAAAGAAAATATAATAATATATTTTTTTTAAAATTATAATATTTGTCTATGTACAATTTTTTAATATAATTATAATGCAATAAAGTAGAAGAGGTAGAACCTATGAACCTTAAATCCACCTCCAATGCCTTAGAGTGTTTTTTTTCTCATAAACTTTATCTTCACTCTATTTTCTTAATTGATGCATCCTTTGATAGCTTTAATGTTAAAAATTTCTTATTTACTTTTCTATTTTTTTAGTAATTTTATTTTTATTATTTTCCTATTAAAAACCATCTATTGTCTAATCTAAAATTTTATTATGTTAAAAGAATTTGTATTTTTTAAGATTTAGATACATAAAAATAATTAATTAAGTATATAAAATCTATTTTTAGTTTTTAAAAAATATATTTATATAAGCTATCACTAAAAGATTAAGAAGCAACTTGTGGCTAAATTAGAATAATAATATGATAAATATTTATATTTTATTTTAGTGTGATTCAATTAAAGATCTTTGTTCTAGCAATGGAGTTTTTTATTTTTTATTTTTTATATTACATCAAAATTAGTTGTAACAATGGATAATAATTATTTAGAATACTAATTAGTTTTCTATACATAATGGATTCTCTTATTGTGTTAAAATATGCTTTATATTCTTTAGGTCTTAACTTTGTAATTTAGTTGTCTCTCATTTATTATTCTTAGTTGTTTCTAAAATTCTTATTTCTCTATATTTTTTATGACTTTAAATGTTTATTCTTCTATCTACCTTTTTTAGATCTAGTGCTTCTACTTTGATTGGTTTTGAAATAATTATGGATGATATATTAGAAAATAGATTTGCACTAAACATAAAATATTCTATTATGACAAGTTAGACTTAAGAAGTTTGAATTTTTTCTAAAGAGTTTTGCAATTTAAATCTTGACTATAAAATCCTAAATACCACTCTTAACAAAAACTTAGAATTCTACATCCATATAACATTAAAAAATAAAAGAGTAATTAAATAAATAATAATAAATTATTTAAAAAAAATCTATGTAAATTAATGATTATAGAAAGAATTGAATAATAATAATAATAATAATAATTATTATTATTATTATGATTATTATTATTTTATAATACTTATCTTTACTATTTTATTATTTTATAATTTTTTATTTTTTATAATTTTTTTTTTCTATTAAAACTACAAGAAGGCAATTAA